TATGTTATATTTCTTTAGAACTTGGTAAAACGTATGTTAGGATGTGTAGAGTTTAAATGTATAAGAAAATCTGCTAGGGATTCTTGACCTTGAGGCCAAATAACAAAAGTATCATCGACGTAGCGTTTCCGTAATTTTGGTTTTAGATGGTGTTGACAATAGGTTGAAGGGGTAATCCTAGTTTGTGAATTTTGGGATAGATTTAAGGTTACATTTCATAGATAACGTAGGATCTTTTTTAATTTGATGATATGATCCGTCTGTAACAATATCTTGAATCTTTTCCTGATATTCATTTGTGTTTATGACCACAGTAGCATTTCCTTTATCTGCTTTTAGGATTACGATGTCGGGATCAGATTTTAGAGATTTTAGGGAAACGCGTTCAGGATTTGCAATATTAGATTTAGGGGGTTCCGCCCCCCCTCAAACAATATAAAAGAAGGAAAAGAGTAAAATCCATGCGAGTTTCAGTCAAGCTCTGAAGAAGCCAACAGGATGATTGGTGAAACGTTAGCTAGTTCGACTCAACAAAAACCGACGCTTAGGTTTCGCCAATCATACTGTTGGCTTCTTCAGAGCTTGACTGAAAGTGGCTCGCATTTTACTTTGTATCTGCTTACATATTGTTTGAGTGGGACGGAACTGAATGAGGGACATAAACATCGTCTCGGATGACTAATTCCCATATTGGTGACAGGAAAAGACCTGAGTCGCGGTTAAGATTGTTACGTTGCTTATAGATTTTTATATTCTATGATTTTCCGTTGGTAGAAGAATTGATTACATGCAAGAATTTCAGTTTTATCGAATAAAATTTTATTCCTGGTTTCGTGATTGTGTTCGGAAAGTGCCGATGAGTTTATTTGTCTTAGTCTTAAGACTTTTTCATATTCTTTGAGGGTAGTTGATATTTTACGTTCGGTGTCTCCAATGTGTTCTTTGCCGCATATGCATAGAATGCTGTAAACTCCTGTCATCTCAAATGGAATTTTGTTTTCGGCGGATCGAAAATGTTGAGAGATTTTCGGACAAGTGGAAAATCTGCCTTTGAAGTTATATTTCTTTAGAACTTTTGATAGAGTGGGGTTGCTTTCGGCCTCATTGCTATTGGAAGGTTATGGCGAAGTGTATTTTGGTTCCAGCAAATGACGAAAGCAACAGTTAGGTGGAAAAAGAGCAAGACACTACGAAATCCGAAGGAAAATAAGCTGTGGAATTAGCCTTTGGAAAGTTTTGTCTACAATGGACTTCAAATATCAAAAAAAGAGATAAGAAGCACGTACTTATGGAATCTCAGCAATTATAAAAATAGGGATGCAAGTATAGAAGAGCAATAAGAAAATATAATATATATATGATTGGTTTCAAAGTCACGCCATAAATATTGTGATCGTCTGACGCAAAATCTGACTCTGATGTGTGATAATCTGGAATGGAAGCCATAAATAGGACTTCTTTCGCAATGATTGATTATTTAATGACTGTATCAAATTTAGCATTGATACGAGGGAAACTCATGTTTTTTGTTTCCAGATGTACTTGTAAGTAAAAAAAGTGGATTCACCAGCACATGTGTATAGGAGAACTAACAAATATCGGACGAAATCTAAATTTTCAGCTTAATTCTTCTGGAGCAACAAAATTTTGATTTTGAAAATTAAGCAATGGCAATATGCCAACCAGCCTATCAATTCAGTAATATCAAGTCTTTTGATCAAAACCAGAACTGAAAGATGGAATCAGAAGAGGGTACATCTATGAAGTACCTTGTGACTCGAAGAACAAAAAGAAAACATACACTGGGATCGTAAGTGGTCAGAGGTCACTGTTGTAATCAGCATACTTCAGTGGAAGGTCGAATTCAAAGAAATTATCTTCATATCATGTATTCAGAACATATTTAGCAAACCATGCGTGGAAATACCAACGATTTGGCAAAAAACAAATACAATGAAAGTATGAGGTTATTTTAGTTTCAAGAAACATGATACGGTATCAGCTGTCCCATTCTTAACGTAACCCTTAAAAACTTAAGGGTTAGTTTTAGTTAGTTAATTGATGCCAAATAGAAATAATTTTTAGCTTTATATTTAGTGCATTATTTCTTTCCTGTCTCCGCTAAAAGCTGTGTTTGAGGCGTCAGCAATGGTAGAAGGATTCATTTGCGCTTCGTGGTAACAAACGCGTCGATTATGGAGACAAAATCGTCTGATACCCGATTTTTGAACTTTCAAGTTTGTGAATATTAGAGCAGATTCGAACGCACTTGGCTATAGTAATAAATAAATGTTTCCTGCAGGGGGTCTTCCTCCATAAAATTTTGCAAATTAGTGCCTGTTCAGAAAAATGTAACCGATAATTTTTATAAATAAAGTTATTGAAATTATTTTATCATTTTACTCGATAAGGAATACTTGGTACTCCCATTTAATTGTATCTGTTAATAATGTGAGCTTATGTGTGATCGATAGTTCAACGGGCGTACGTCAAGGTTCGCTTTGAGGACCCCTTCTTTAGTATAAACCAAGCAATATCTAAAACTATCTCAAAACGCGAATGATGAAATCTTAGTGCAAAGTGGTGAATCAATGAATTATCATTTGTATTACAGAATATAAGATAAGAAAAGCAGAACAATGGTTTAATATAATATATGCTAAAACTAAATTCAAAAATAACCCATAAAATGACCTTTTCTCTCAGTAATGCTTTCTATGCTGCAAATAGTGTGAAACTTCTGGAAATTCAACTAGATGGGGGACTGCGTTTTAAAATTCCACGTAGGTTCAGGTTGACTACTGTTAAAATTTACTAAATACTTTACTTTATAATAAGCTCAAGTCATCACGGATTTAATTGTCATCTGGTTTCCTTCATTTGAAAATTCGTCTTATATGACGTGTGGCTTGCAACAAACTTCACTGTATTGTTGTTAAATAAAGATTATTATTTTAATATCATTATTATTATTAAAAAAAAAGGATTGCTTGCAATGCTCCTTCCAGGTCGTTCAAAGACTACCACCTCGTAACTCGCGTATCTTTATATTCTCCTCCTTCTCTCCGGAGAAAACTTTATAGATCCAAGTTCGGAAACTTTCGAAGTAATTAGTATTCTAATATCGTGTTAGGTGTTATGAAATTCTGAACTGATTCCTTCATAACGGCGGGGGCTTTCAAGCTCGTGCATTCGCCTCGATACGGTATACCGATCTCGTGAAAAATACCCCCTCGGAAGTGACTTTTGTTATAGTTTAATCACGGGACCGCTTTAGTTGACGAAGTATCGTTAACGGTCGAGGAAGTCTTCGTGTAATCATCCAACTCCGCGGAACGTCACATAAATTAACGACAAATGTCGTTATCGTCCAAAAATTTAAATTAAACGACATGGTTGATGAGCTTTTGCGAGGCCCTAGACGAATACATTTGACTTGTTGGCTAACCAATAAATTTCGTTTGCGTAGAGATTTTCATAATTCACAAAATTTTTTAGCTTATAAATTTCATCGAACAATATAAAAAGTTGTCAAAATTTCATAAAAAAAATAAAGCAAGTCCAATACTTTTATGACTTGTGCACGTATATTAAATCTGAGTACAGTACTGAATTCTACGCGAAAAGTTATACAAGAAACTGTCGCTACCTTTCGATTCGTTATCAAATTAGAGAATTTACAGGAGGTAGGTCAAAATGCAATGTTTGGGAAATTTCAAGCAAAAGTGTCGGAAGTGGGACGCCCTGTAGTCCAATCTCCAGCTGCCCGTCTTTAAAAGCTAAAAAACTTTCAAATTAAATACCACATATACCAAACTTACTAACAACAAAAATCAGGTTACAGAACAAAAGCGCGCAAAAACTTTTCGCAAAGTTTAAGTAAGTAAAAAAGGCGAGAACTTTCACTGAGAACTGATACACGTATCAAATGAAAGGAAAAAGTTTCGGATGTTTTATCACGTTTGTGTAGGGGAATGGTGAAAATACTTTATCCAGGAAAATGCCAATATCAATATCAATTACGAGTCATTACATTTGCTTAATTGTCTGTTTAGTTGTTTTAGTTGTAAAGAGAAGCAAATAGTAGGAGGTTCCAACATACAACGGGAGCGTATGAAAAAATACCATCATACCACATGAAATCTATCAAAACCTACCATAACTATACCAGTTGCCCCCTGTGTAGTATTCTTGATTGTTATCTGATTTGAAAATTTTAAAAGCCACAATGAATTGTTTCAACTAACTAAATTTTTTTCTTTCTTTCTGAGCAAAAATAGACAATTTTTTTTAAGAAACTATATTTGTTTTATATGATTTTCGGAATTTGCTTCAGCCATTCTCTGAAAAAAATCATTGGAAAATATAGGGGTCACTGTTATAACAGAAACGTGCCAAATTCCAATATCAGCCAAACAAACTAATCAATACCAAAATAGCCAAAGCAAAATGCGATATATATATCCAAGATATCCAAGAAAGTATAAAAAATTCCAAAAAATTGTTGGATCAATCAAAGGGTAAGATGTTTTCAGATCATACACGTCAAAAGTTATAACACGTGTAAATTTTTTAAGAAGTCGTTATTGAAGAAAGAACTGATGTGAGTTTTGTTTCGATTCCATTGATTTTTAGTGTGCTTTAATTTTGATATTATTTTGCCTCTTGTTGATGTTATGTTATTCTCCTCGAAATAAACAAATATTTCAAAAGTTTAGTTTTTAATTATTTATTTATTAGATGAAAAATCATATGCAATGATAATGGCAGGTGTAATTAGTGGACATTGGTGGCAATTTAAGTGGTATTTGGTGGGATTTGGTTGAGGTTATTTCTGATAGAAGTGATAACTTAGTGCACACAGATCCTCCCACGACATTATGAGTAAGACACGTTTAGAATCTTCAGACGAATTTACATTTAGCACAATCTTAACACAAAATTCCAGGTTATGATGTATAAAACAGTACTCCAAGTCAGAACAACTAATAAAAACTTACGCAAAGTGCAGTGTCGTCCGTTCCAGCCTTGCGAGCAAACGCAGGTGCCATTCCTGCACTGTCCGTGTTCCTGGCAACGGGTGTCGCAGGGCAGTTGTTCACATCGCGGACCAGTCCAACCTACGTCGCACCGACACTTACCCATTTCGCAATGTCCGTGATCACCACAGTCTAAGTTGCACAGAGCTGCAAAAAAATCTCATTAATAAACACATAAAAATAAGGTTGTTTTTTTTTATTATTTTTTAATGAAAGCTTGGAGTTTAGTTAATTTTATTTATATAAATTTTAGTATTTACTTATTATTTTATTACTTTAAACATAAAAATGATCATACAAGTTAAATGCACACTGACAAAATTCCCACTAAAATATGTTTAGTTATTTATTGTTACTGGGACAAAAATACAAAATGAAATTTAAAAATTGAAATTAAGTGTGACTTTACAACGAACCTAATTAGTTTTATCAATTATAATAACGAATCGGGTCACATGATGATCACAAAACACTCGCCGTTACAATGTCATTCATTTTTATATTGTCCATTAAGGTGATGCTATATGTCACTTCTGAACGCTGAATTAATTTGTTGTGTTGAAAAAGTAGGGCAATTGTAAAGGTGATTTTTATAGAGCGGCAAAGGCTAAATAAAAAATTGGTATTGTTACAAAATATTATAAATATAGTTATACTTGGAAAGAACGGCATTTATATCATAATAAAATACAAAATGTATTCTGGATTTATAAATTATGTTTCATAAAACATTGTGAATATCCATAACTTCAGTTTGACTTAATCGTGACGTTGCTTTATTATAAAACTATGTTTACACTTTATAATTACATAAGTTAATGTAAATCAAAAACAATGTGTTTCAATCTAAGACTTATGTCGCCAAGTGTTGGGTATTGTCAAAGTTTAAATTTAAAAAAATGAAACACGTATATATGAACGTAGGGTAAAACAAAAATTATTAAAATAAACATTTTTCACAGGCAAAAAACTCATTTAAGTCCTATAAAGGCATGACGCACCAAACCATCTTCCTTTGAAGTATACAAATGATTATAAAGTTTAGGAACCACATCTTATGGCCAAGAATTTTATTATGAAATAAAAATAAACCCCCTAGAAATTTAACTACACTACTTTGATGAATGCCCTTGTTGCCTAGTCCCACATGCTTTTAGTCCTTACAAGAAAACATCAGTAAATCTGTTTTATCGGTATTTAAGGTTAGGTAGGCTAGCAGTAAGATTGTATCTTAACAATGTTGGCGTTGGAGCTACTACTTAATAGCTCAAAATTGTAACAATAATAACAAAGGCTATAAGCAACAAGTTCCTTTGAAGAACCCCATATAGAACCATCCTAGATTCTAAGATCCACTCCTGAAGAACGTGTAAATACAACTTGAGCGTCGAATTTCAATCAATATATAATTTTGGACTTGCAATGTGGCGTACAAATAACCAATGATCTATTGTATAATTTTAGCAGAAGTGTGAGGAATCGTGACGGGTAATTGATTTCCCAAAAGCAATTCGACCGTCAATAATCTGGAGGAAGAAAAAGCATTTTCGCCCCAAATAAAAGCCGCAATACTCACGCTGAGAGCAATCGGAACCAGTCCAATGCCTGTTACAGACGCACTTTGCCGATTCTAGATCGTAGACGCCGTGTTCGGAACATGTAGGCAAACACTTATGAACTTGTTCGTCGATGACGTTGCAGTTTTGTCCCTTCCAACCCGCTTTACAGTAACATTGACCATTGACGCAGGCACCGTGCTCCGAGCACGTAGGATCCTCGCAATCTACTTCGTCGCACGCTTCTCCTGAAAAAAGAAATCGGGACCGCTGTGATAATAACAATAACAGTTTAACTGGCACATTTAATCTATCAACCCATTAAACCTTTATACATAAGAAAAAGAAAAATTATATGCAATCATATTAACGGAAATCTTTTCAATCTGGGGGAAGAGAAGTAAGACCTTTTTAATCGAACATTCAAAGCGTGGCATTTTATTTTTTCAAAAAGATATGGGGGACCAAGCAATACGGAAAATGAGAGACTATCGAGTTTTTTCCATTTACAGTCATTTGCCTTACGGAGTCTATTTTATACGACATATGCAGCACATTTCTTGATCCAAACAAGGACTATAAATCAATTAATTAAAATGAGAAAGAAGTAAGTTGATAAATAGTAACCATTGGGATTACTACCAAAGTTTAGTCAAAAAATCCGTGCAGGTTCAGCGCGATTTAAATGTTGACTTTTACCACGTATCCGAAAGTAAGGTTCAATTAGTTCTTTAGATTGACCAAATAACTTAATGTCAGATTTAGTGGCATTTATATCGAGCTGATGAGAGTTTGAAAACTCTTCAACAAACTTCATGTTTTCGTTTATGATTTCCTGCTGGCAAACTTCCGGAATTAAAAAAGATATATCTTACTTATTTGGAATGCTAACAACTTATATTGATTGATTGATGAATTGATGAATTTTTATTATAGATTCATTTTATTTCTAATTTAAAATTCAGAATGATTATATAAATAAATGTAATTTAAACTGAAAATATTTAGTAATATACAAAATCAGTAATAAATTATAAGTTATATATGAAAATATTTGGTTTATTGTGAGTCTGATAACTAGCTAAAATTGACGCATTATTTTTTATGATAATCTGATAAAAAGTATTTTTTTTTGTGAACACCTCTATGTTGTTAATAATTTTTAACGAATTTGCTCGCTTCTTGCATTTTTACATTCATCAAAAATATAAATGCGAAACAAAATAGGCAGATAAAATACATTAGACCAAAATTTTTGTCTTCTAATTCGCAGGAAAGGATCATCTAAAATTGCAAGTCAACAAAAATATATTTTCGTCCATTAGGTAATGCTACAACGAAACATGCGAGAAAGTCGCGTCGCGACGACAATAATGATCTCTTCTTATTAAACTTCCAAGTTCCCTTAGAGCATTTGGCACCGAACGGATCAAACAGCTTTACACCTCCTTCGAAACGAATTTAAAATATTTTCAATTCGTACGCGTTCCTGTGAATGAACCGTCCTTCAAATTGTAACTGATAGACGTAAGCCATCCCAACTTTTAAAACGTTTGTAGTAAACGTTTGATTAATATAGGTTAGTTTGATTGGATGAGCACCTAAAGAAACAAATTTTTGTTGCAATAAATAACTTAAATTAATTACCGCATAAATTCTTATTTGTATGACCAAATTTATAAAAAAAATGTCATTTTTTTGGATAAAGTTTTAAGTTATCACTGAATTCCGGTTCAATAATTTTGCCCTTAAAATTTAAGAAATTTTTGAATTTCACCTTGAGATTTATGAAACGTCTAGTGTTGAAAATCGTCATCTGAGTACTGCTTACAAACATGGAGTCAATGAAATAGTGCAAAGAGTTCTTGACTCTTTGAAGTTGTAGTAAAAAATTTAAAGTGTGGTTTTAAAATCTTAGAAATTTAACGTAAAAAAGTAACAATTGGAACGGAATCACCCCATCGGTCTTTGCAGTAGTCTCCGGCATCCCCATTGCAGTTTAAACACTATATAATGGATATAATTTGCTCTTGTATCATTTGCAGTAAACAACGCACTTCAAAAACTGTTAGTAGAACCACAAATAGTACTTTATTAAATTTCGTGCAGTAAAATGGAATTGCCGCAGCACATGTTGCTACCGAGTTGCTATGGGAATTTTTTAATTCCAAATAACAAATACAATTTTGCAAGGACCTCGTTTTTCAGCTTTGAAAGACATCCAAGTAATGTATCAGCAATGGACTAACATGTCTGTCGTATAATTTCCCAGCTTAAATTATCCAAAGCTGCTAAGAAATTGTGTACTCTACCAATGACTTCTGTTCTATTTGAAACTTAAGGAGAAGGAGAGTTTGAAACATTATTCAATTTTAGTTTTGTTATTCTAATTGCTTCAGTCGCTTGGTTACTATTGCGAAATTTATTTCAAACATATTAATCAGTAGGAATTTTGTGGTTAATAATGATACAGGGTGTTTTCTAATTGAATGACAATAATTGAAAGGGATTTTTGGGTCCATTAAAAAAAAACTTTTAAATGCCTTAATTTTTGAGATACAGGGTGGTAAAGTTTTGAAAACTAAAATATATTTTTTAATATCTGTAATACAAGGAATGCCACTCATTTCTCTTAAAATAAAAATGCTTCTTACAATTTCCAATCATTTCTATAGAAATTTAATTTCTTGTTTTTTTCAATCCAACGTACGGTTTTCGCAAAAAAATAAATAAAAACCTCTTCTCTGCATGGTTAGAACAATATATAAACAGTATATGTAAACAAATTATACAATATATAAAAAAATTGTCATGTAATGACATTATTTTTTTAAAGGAATCCAGCGATCATTATGGCCATTTAGCCTTTTTGACAGAAAAAAGGGTCCAATTAAGTAATTCCCAACAATTCCAGCCCAAACATTGACCAAACAAGAGATAATGCGCAAAAGAAATAATAATGATAATAATTCTCTGCATGTTGCGATATTGTTATGTCCATGCAGAGAACAGGTTTTTATTTTTTTTAAGCGAAAACTGTACATCGGATTGAAAAAAATCAGAAATTTAAGTTTCTGTAGAAATGATTGCAGATTGTAAGAAGATTTTTTATTTTAAGAGAAATCTGAGGCGTACCATCAATGTCTGCCAAAAAAGACAGGTGAAATTCAGTACGCCCGCCATAATGCCCTTTGATAGATAGTACATGTGAGACTGATTTGGTATTAGTGATATTAAAATTTTACCACCCTATACCTCAAAAGTTAAGACGTTTAGGACATATGATATTATCATTTTAAAATGTATCAAAAAATCGCCCCCGTAGTTATTAACATTCAATTAGAAAACACCCTGTATATGAAGTTACAATGGATTCTTGAAACTCTTTTTTTTTTCAATTTTTGTAAGCAACGTTACTTCTTGTAATGAAAGTTTCAGCTAGATGCAATAAATGATATTATTATGAGTAGCTCAAAATTTCAAAGGTATAAATAAATAAATATATAAAAAAACGGCTGTTTAGTTTAGTTCCACATGGAAAAGTAGACAACTCGCAGGTTACTGGTACGAAATAACCAGCCTTCAAGTTCCACAATTCTGCTTAAGATATTCGAAGTTTTGGGGTCGCAGTCGTGCCCCCGCAGTAGCCTCCGTTACACCCGCAACTCTCCCGTAAAGTAATTATTTCGTGTTGGGGGGTAATTATTTTCTCTAAGAAGGTAATTTGCATCCGTTCCGTGGCACAGGTACCGAGGTTCGGTTAAAGTTTTCGGTAATTATCAGCGTGAAACGAGGTGAAGTGAGCGCTCGCGCGGAGGACTAGAAAAATTACAAAGCGCGAGGTCGGAAGATTTAAATTACAGGGGCCACGATCACCCTACGGCGCCGCGCGCGTAAGAAAATCGGTTGTTTCGCCCTGCAACGTGACGCCCTTTTGTGCTCTCGCGCGGTTTGATCTGCAGATGAAACGATTGCGAATCAAAGGGCTCCGCTTCGTTTGCCTGTGTTTCAATTCCCGTATCACGTGACCCGATTTTGTTTACGTAATGAAAGGAAATCGGGTTGCCTATGTTCAAGGGGGCCTAACATTAATTGCGATTAGATTTTTTGTTTATTTTGATTGATTGTTAGCTTGTACGTTAGTTACTATCTGGGAATTCATTTTCATATATAGTGTCCACTATGTATAAAGATACAGGGCCGTTTAAATTTTAAGGCATATTTACAAAAGCAAATTTCTTGATTTTGGTATTTAAAACTTTACAAAAAAAAAGTTGTACCAAATGTTTTTTTTTTAATTCACTTGTCATGTACAGGGTGTCAAAATTTCGGACTACTACTAGTAACATTGAAATTTTAAATAGAAGACCTGTATTTTTGCGTACTCAAGGAAGGAAGGAAGGAAGGAAAGAGGTGGTTTTAGTGCATTAATGAATGCATAATAAGCTAAGATTGAGCGGTTCAAATGGTTTTGGTTGTTGGTAGTGGTAGTTTAAAATTCCGACACTCTGTACCTCTAATGGTTTAGTACCTATACAGTGATATTTCAAAAAAGGTCACCTTGTATGCCTCAAATCAGTTAAAGTTTTGGTTAATTGGGACGTTTGGCGGTGGCGAGTTTTGGTTAGTTTTTAGAGTTTTTATATTGAGTAATTAATGAATACAGTTTTCTTTAGCAAATCAGTTCGTCTTTCAACTGTTTCACATAAAAAGATGTACAGGATGAGCAAAGTTTTCTACTTTTAAAAGTAGATAAACTAAAAGTGATGTCAGTGTTTGGAGCTCGTTTTTCACTAAAAAAATAGTTGAACTTTTGAGGCAGAATTCAATGAAAAAATCAGTAAGTGTTGCTGTTTTTCAAATATCGATCAACATTTGTTTTCTTTTGGTTTTCATTTTCAAATTAACTTGTCTTTTTACAAACGTATCATAGTACGGCTCCGTCTCAATAAACAATGGCGATGACGCTTCGGCGTTGGAATACCAAAAATGTTCTGCTCGTATTTTAAAACTGACGAGGGAATTTATATTATACAAAGTGTTTAAGACGATTGCCGAGTCGTGCACGTCCCGAGGGAAATAACTAACCTTTCCAGCCCGGCTTGCAGTGACAAGAGCCGCGGACGCATTTCCCGTGACCCGAGCAGTCGGCAATGCGGCAATCGCCCTCGGGAATGTCGCACTCCGGCCCTTTCCAGCCCTCCTCACAGTGACATAGGCCGCCGCCATATTGGCCGTGGCCGGAACACAGCACCGGACACACACCTGGAACGAATAGAAAAAGTTAATAATTTTTTTCTTAATAAACGAATTGACATTTGCTTTTCATATATAAGATACTTAAGGTACTTTACAAAAACGCGAAAAATAAGTATTTTAAGTTTTTTAACGTTTTGTTTTTTTAAAAAAGCATGTATTAATATACAAAATTGAAATATAAAAAATTAAAGGTTCGCGAACACATTTAAAACTAGTTTTAACAAAAATATGTATAGTTAATCTGAAACGTACTAAATTTAATTTTTAATACCAAGTCGTAGAATTCTTCAAATAATATACTGTTTTTACGACATAATTCGGTATTTAACATTGGTAAATTTTTATGGCCTACTTCGCTTGGGTTTCTCTTTGTAACCCTTACTATATAGGTTCGCAATTCCACAATGACGTTCCAGAACCGTACTTCGGTACTTCGTGCATACAAGTGCTGAAAGCTGACGGATTGTGCAGAGTTTTATCGGTGCACTGAAAAATCCATTTTTACTTTTAAATCCTACTCTTAAAATACAAGACTCCGCACAGCACAAGTCCTGTCGGCTAACATCTTAAATACGGTCCCGACTTGTGGTATACATGTTGAAAAGAATGGTCCCTTCCCCTTTACAACACGCGAGTCTTAAACTCATTCCAATTCAAAACCATAAAAACGGTATATCGTTTGGGGAACTCTAACTAGTAAGTCGTTATTCCTATTCTATCTGGGGTACGTCTCGGGCCCTTCTAGCCAGCGCGCTACATTCAGTAAATAAGTTTCATATTTTTTAACTAAACTAACTCTGTCGCAACATCCTCAAAAAAAAAAAATCAACGACTTATATTCCATTAATACTAATTTTTCTTCAATTACCACTCACATACTTATTTACCATTTTCAATGTTTGTAGTAAAAAATCAAAAAAGCAGGTGACGTTTACCAGTTTTGCTGACAAAATCAACGAATACAAAATCACCTATCTGACATATTATGTCTCACATATTATGTCTCTATTAGATTACTATTATCGCGTTATTTCAAAAAATAAAATCACTAGTTCCATAAATGGTTTGTAACAACATTTATACATTTATACTTTTGTGTGAATTTGCTTAATACTAAACACTGGCCGGTTTGATTTGAAGCAACTCGGAACCAAACAGCGCGTCCATCAATAAAATTTGACAGGTGACACAGAAAAGTAAAGGAGACTTTCACAGGGAGATTTGATTTAAAAACATTTCCCAACAACGTGATAAAAGATGTAAAAAAAATTATCATAACTTGAACACAACTTTAGATAATTTTATAAAATTTGGTATACGTCTGTTTTAAGCATCAAAAATGGAATGCATCAAATATAGTAGTAGATGTTGTATTTAGTTGTGTGACATCCTTAGTAATTTGACAAATGGGTCGTAAAAAGTAAAATGATCTTGTCCGTGCCATCTGCCGATATTTTAAGTTGTTTTCCAGCAATAATCTGTAGTAAACTTTTGTATTTTTTGATATAACTAATTTAGGTTTGTTTTGGTTATATTTGTTATAACAATTTGTAACCACGCATCCTGAAGAAATAAGAAAGTCACTCAAAGCGTAGTTGAAGATTCCGTGACATAATTCAAAGAGATACAGCCCAACCGTAGAACAATGCTATTCTACAGTTGTTCTAACATCTTACTGATCCTTAATGCCAAACACTTTCCAGTTTATCAGACAAGTGGCCAAGATTTAAAGCAACCCTGAATCAAATATCGCGTGACTCAATTAGATTTGACAGGTAGCAGCTGGGATTTCACAAAAAGTGCAGTGCATACTTTTGATAAAATAAAAATAAAATTAACAAATTGTCTAAAAGCATGTTATAAGTATTTTTAGAATACAGCAATATAGCGGTTTTACGTTTAAATTTATAATTATTCGTTCCTTAACAAGAATTACTTAGAGGTTACAGAGTACTTAAACTTTGGGAGAAGAAGCGAATAGTTGAATAACGAAACAAGGGTTTTGTTTTAGCGAGTTGGCAAATAAAACAGGCAATACAGATTTTTGTGAGTCTAAGGCACTTTCTACGATTTAAAAACGACCTCGCATCACTTAGTTAGCAGTTAAGGACGCGTTGAAAGGGCCTAATAGTGATAGTAGTTTTGTGGTTTAGTCGTAAATGTTCTAGTGCACAATAGAGTTCGAGTATGATTACTTACTTTATATTAACTGATGCAGCATTATGTAAAACAAGTCTAGTATTTTTCGCAAGCTTGAAGCAGCTATCATCGGTTCAATGCGACTAATGCCGTTTTGTTAGGTCACTAGCATAATTTAAGGGTCACATTAACAATAGTTTAGTTTAATTTCGATAAATGATTGCATTTAGCTGCGTCGTCGTTAAAAACTCTCCCGAAAAAATTGCCTCTCCCGGAGCCGGCATTGCCAAGAAGCCGAACTTTTTATACCGAGAGGATAATATGTTTCTGGCATAGATAAACCATCTGAATTTTTATAAACTCATTTCAGACGGCGCGGGAACATAATTATTACTCAATTATTCGTATATTTCAGAACGGCGGTCTTGATAGTTCAGTACATTGCAATATTGTAGCTTTTATGGATATTTGGGGAAAATTTGAGGCCGAGAGCGATTTGTGATAATTACGAAACATAGTACCCTAAATACTAATAATTAAACGCGAGAGGTTATAATAAAGCTAGTAAATCCCGAAGCTTTTAGTCTTATTGCGACGGTTTTTATAGCCGTCATAATACAAGATGTCGTCGTTTTAATAGGCGATATAAACTTTACGAGTAATCTCGAAATAAAGTGCTTGGTGGAATTAAAATTGGACTCTGGCAAATATAAAACGAACTTTTTTCCTTAATAATAAGATTTATCATATAGATTAATGAACAGTTTGTATGAAAATTGCACCACGTGCATTTTTACCAATTACAACCAAACAGAGAAAATAATAAAAAACTAGTTTTGTTTTTTAATAGAACTTTATCGAACGATATTAGAAACTTGTATGATGATCTAAATGGCTTCGGATTTGACATCAATCTAAGCAATATCTGCCTTTATTTTGTACGGAATGCGAAATGGCATCAGCATACTATGTAATTTTGCAGCATCTCCATAAACATATACAGTCTAATTTAGTATTTATTAAGAATTGACTTTTGTTTTCTATACCTCCCTTTACGGTCGGAATAAACTCTACTCTAATTTTAACATTCACTACTTACAAAACTTAAAAACTGTAGATAGATGTTAAAACTAAAAGAAATTATAAAACTAAAGAAATTCCAAACTATAGCAAAAGCAAAATTAGGTTTATGGAATTTTGGTTTTAAGAATAGATAACAAGCTCGTAGGTTTTAAGTTCAATATGACAAGTAATTGATTTTTTTCCAGATTTTACGATTTTCATTTTTTAAGAAACGACAATACCAACAGAATTTGGCTTATATCCGTGCACATAAATGCATAATACTGGGGGTACGTTACGGCAATGGAACAAAACTTTGCCTATCTCTAAATCACACATATCCTAAAAAAAACTGCGCACTATCAAAAGTTGTATTCTGGTGTGTGAGCTGTAAAATTGACCCCCAGAATAGATACATACAATGTTTAGTTGGCCTCAATGATTTATTTATTTTTGCCCGTAAAAATGCCTTCATTGCTAATATCAAAAATATCCCTCATGTTTTTTTTTATCGACTTTTGGAGTGTTCCTGTATGATGAAGTATGAAGTAGTTGCTGACTGCTTAATGTTTCGATATTTCTTTCAGTGTTTTTCCAGTTTTATACGGATTATAGTGTTATGGAATGAACATTATTAATGAAATTATGGATGTTGTTATATAAAATAAGTATTAACTCAATCAAATTTCCTATTAATTTATTTTTTGCTTTAGGTTTAGGTAACAAAATAGGATTTAATATTAACCTTTATTTTTCGCTTTCTTTTTGTTTATCATTTTAACTTTACTTAATGGTTTATAAGTACGTGACGTACGGAATGGATAGCAGGAATTCTACGCTAACCTCAGCCTGACGTAAAAAGGTGCCTGAAAGACGATCAGAGAGAGACGAATTCGTACCAGTTGCTTGCACGGGTGTTTTTTTTTGCTGTCGAAGAATTTAGGTTTTTTTTCTGTTATTTTCTTCTATTCTTCACGAGTTTAAAGAACAGTCAGCCGGCGGAACACAGTTATCACATAATTTTCCAAGGTAGGATTTCCTACACATTTATCTTTTCTGTACGTAGGTAGGCCTTTAATTCGGATTACAGTTTGTTGTCGATGATTTTTTTTTAATTATTTATATTTTTCATGGTTTCTGAATAAACAAGAAGAACGGCTAAATATAAATGTTCATATTTATTCGTCAAAATCTAGAGTCATAAATGAAGAAGAAAATCTTCATATATTATATTATCATATCATATATTATTTATATCATGTTATTTAACACATTCTTGAGTAAAATGGAGAGAAAATCTGACTCTGATTAATTGTAACGAATTAAATAATCATGGGTTTTACCTATTGTTATACATTCAATAAATTCCATATTAAAGTAATCTCAAGTTATTTACACAGTAGTACACAGTACTACATAGTATAAGGTACCCTTATTTTTTTGTTAAACATCATACAAAAAACCATTATAGAAAAAATTATAAAAAGTTATAAACAATATTTATCGTAATCTCAAGAACTCTCATCCCCTCTTAAATTAGTGAAGATCCCGCCATTTCTCCTCTTCTTTAATGACAGTAGCGTAAGACATATCATTTTAATTGTTGTGTTGTGTCTTGCATCAAATCAACACTCGAGCCCATATACATTTTAGAGGATTTTGTTCTCAATGATATGGCGGTGGTGCACAGTTACACCATGTTTTTTTCCTCCAAATTTTCTATATACGGAGTGAGTAAAAAGTACCGGAACGCTTAAAAATTTCCAAAATTGCTGAAGCTGAAACGATAAATTTCAATACCTGAG